CAGTTACAAAAAGCTGCCATTAGTCTTCGCGAGCCTCGATCAGCTGGATCAGACACCACAGGCATGTCCAGGGTGCGGTTGCTGTACGGATGTGATGCTGTTGTGAGTTTGAACAGACGAAGCATCTGCATAAGATAACATTGCCGATGCCAACTAAACTTTTTACGAGTACCGTACTGGTACAGCAACGTAACACTCACAACAGAAGTCGGTTGGTCATGCAGTCACTGAGATCACTGGGCGCCACCCACTGTGTGAGGCGATGCCCCCAGCGTGGAAGCGACCAGGTGCCACAAAGGGATTAAAGGATGCCACAGAGGTATGCTGGTTGCATGTTATTATGAAGGGGCACTTCAACTACACTGAAGTCATAGTCAACCCTCCGCCGTCACCATCTCAGCGAGGGTGTGCAGTGGCAAGTGTGCGGCAAGCAGCAGGATGCACAAAGCAAATGACGTATTCCCTAGCGCACTTGCGTAATACTGTGAGGCGGAAAGGGGGAGGTGGCTGCTGCCGACCCAGAAGAGCCGCAGTGGGACACCAGCTGCCCGCCTGTGCTGCTTGCCAAGCAGCCTGCTCATCAAGCAGGGTGCTGCGCTGAGCGCCGCCATGTATCAGATAGCATTGGCTGCTAGCCAGCTGCAGCAGCAGATATCCTGCATGGTGCCGCATACAGGAGCAAAGTAGATGCTCCTGCAGGCTCTCAAAGCAATACCTTAGCCAAGTACGCTTACACGTTGTGGTCAGGGTGTTGCCCTTCAAATTCATCGTTGGCCAGCCCCTCCGCAGAGGCGCGCGACACCCAGAGTGTCAACGCCGCCGCTCCAGCTGTGCCGCGGTGTTCTGCACCGCAGCCCGCGGTGTAATACAACGCGCTGTTGAAAAACAGCGGGTCTACCGGTGTATTACACCATCCGGTGTTACCTCGGTGTAAAACACCCGCAATTCACCGCGCGGTGAATCTCACAAGACCGCCGGTGGAAAACACCGTGCGGTGTCATGACACCGGGGCCCACGGTGTAATTCACCCGCGGGCTTTTATGAGACGCGGGAGACGCCCGTGCGAAGTGCTTTTCAGGCTATCGCTCACCAAAGTGACACGAGCCCGACCGCGAATAAGTCCCTTGGCAATGATGATGAAGCTCTTGGGACACATTTCAGGACGATCATGTGCAGGGTGCAGCGCACAGCCGTCCGACGTGTTGTGCAGGGTGACGTTAGTTCATGAAGCGCCTCGGGAAAAAGCCCAGGATAGCCATTCGGTCGCGGCTGCCGGAATATTGTATAAACTCGGTTCGAGACTCCACAAATTCACTGACACTCAAAGACTATGATAAGCACACTAACAGAACAGGTGCGATACACAGGTGCGGTAGGACTGCACTGGACAGCGCCAATCCAAGCGTTGATGGGGTCAAGGTCAAGTACGGTATTGCACCGAGTGCCGCCTGATCTGCAGGTCTGTATTATGTGCCCACATGGTTGCTTCCTGATCCGCAGATCGCATGCGCCTTTACGCTCTCACAAGTACCGGTAGTTGCAGATCATCCGTTGATCATTCGATCGTCTCCGCTTGGCCAATAGGATAACCGCCATACATTTTATCTTAAAGCACCTCACACCGCGGCGCAGTCAGCTGCTGTTGGGCGTCGCCAGTTGTGTGCTGCCGGCGCGCCACACCAGCACGAGCCGCGCGAGAGGGGACCCACACCTCGATACAGCAGCGAAGACGCGGCGCCGCTATCGTGCGATCACGGCTCCCGGTGCAGCCCTATGGATGCGCAGGGGGACAGCGCACAGCCAGCTACGGGAGCAGAGGGGGTTCACCCCTTGGCGGCTGCTGTTGGCACAGCACGTTTCAACCTGCAGGGGCGACGTGCCCTGATCACCGGTGGAACCCGTGGCATTGGGCTTGCCATAGCAGAGCAGCTGTGCGCCGCAGGAGCAAGCGTGTACTTGTGCGCTCGGGGCGCCGACGACGTCGCCAGCGCGGTTGCACAGTTGCGCGAACGGGGCTTCAACGCCCAGGTGAGGCTCGTGGCCATCGGCGCTCCTCGTCGGATTCCTTGATTGAGGCTTTCCTCAACAGCTCACAACTCCGCCGTCTACTCTGTGGACCGTGCGCCGCCCTTCCAGGGCTCAGCTGCAGACATCTCCGACAGGTCCCAGTGCGCCGTGCTGGTCAGCTCGGTGCGAACTCGCCAGGGCTGGGCATCAAGAGCACCCTGCGGCATGTTTGGTGGCATAAGCAGCTCGTGCAGGCGTAGCAGCAGGTGTCTTGGCCCCGTGGGTGAGGCAGTGCGTGTGCCCCGCTGCCCGTCCATGCCCTGCAGGTCAGCGCCGCGTTTGGTGGCGAGCTGGACATCCTGGGTGCGCACGGGATGTAACGCCACAGGGCAGATCACCAGCTACTGGCGAGCGTCAAGCGCCATGGGCAGGCACGGCCAGCTGCGCAGCCATGTTGGCTCCCACTGTTTGGATCGCAAGCCAGCCACCACCTCACATGTGCCCCCTGTAGACCCCAGATTACGCCTTGCACCTGCCATGGCGTATCGACCAACCCCCACAGTTAACAATGCGGGCACCAACATCCAAGCCCCTACGCTGTCATATGACGAGGAGGTCTACCGCGCTGTCATCGGCACCAACCAGGAGGCCTCGTACGTCCTCTGTCAGCTGTGCCACCCACTCCTGGCAGCAGCAGCCAAGGCCAGCGGCGCGGGCAGCGCAGGCGGCAGGAACGCAAGCGTTCCCGGGTCATGCATCGTTTTCATCTCCAGTGTCGCAGGCGGGCCCCTCGCGGGGCGCTCTGGCAGCCTGTATGCAATGAGCAAGGCGGCTCTCAACCAGCTGGCCAAGAATTTGGCCTGTGAATGGGCAAAGGACGGCATCCGTGTCAACAGCATAGCGCCCTGGGTCACTCTCACAGAGCTCGGCAAGCAGGTGCGCGCTGCATTGCATGGGTGAGGGGATGGGTGCTGATGGCGTGAGGTAGTGAGTGGTTTGATGTTGGTGCATCAAGCTGTTGAAACGCCGGAGGGATTGATTGGCGTGAGCAGAGCGATGGCTCACAACACCTGGGTTAACGTTCACCGGGCTGCCAGTGACTCGCTCTCCCCTTCGAATAAACCGCATGCGCAGAACCTGACCAACCCAGCGCTCAAGGAAGGCTTGCTGAGTCGGACGCCTATGGGCCGGCTGGCTGAGCCTGAGGACATCGCAGGCGTTGTTGGGTTCATTGTCAGTCCCGCAGCTGCCTACGTCACGGGCCAGACAATTGCTGTGGATGGCGGCTACAGCGTGATGGGTTTTTGGTAGCGGCTGCAAAGCTGGTTCCGACGTGACAAGCTAGCAGAATGGCCAGCCGCGCGAAAGCACTGCAAAGCTGCAGACAGGCACTTGTCCTTTATTTGAACTGCCATCTGACATATGATACTGGGCTTCACCGAAAGCTGCTGGTTGAAGGGGAGCGACTGACTCCTGCCCACCTGCTGCTGCATATTTGTTGTTGTCAGCGAGCAAGTGGCCGCAAGTAACGTGCTTATGTGTGTCAAAGACGGATGCGCACGCGTAAACGCAGTTTGCATGACCATTAGCATTTGATGACGCATTATAAGAGTATTCCTGTGCGGGTTGCTCACGAAGCTGGCTTCTTCGCCCTCCAGGTGTGTCCGATGATTCATGATAGTGAACTGACCAGGCAGCCGCCGCCGTACGCTTGTTTTGCTCAGCAAATATTGCTGCTTGGTGGCTGGTTTGAGCTAAAACACCCCCTGTTCAGGCGCCTTGTTTGCTGGGGCTTCTGTTAATGTTAATTGGTGAGTTATAAATTGTGAGCACGTCGGGGGCTTGCTGCTTCAATGATCCTGTGCTCAAGGCTGTGGGTCCAACACAACGAGGTAGGCCGAGGTGGGCCGGCTTGTCTAAGTTCGGGTCACTGCACGGCAATGCTGACCAAGGCAGAGGTGCTTTGAGTGGAAGCTGGTTTGGTGCGGGGCGTTGTGCCCGTTCACAGTCCGGGGTCGCTTGCCTGAGCCTCAGGCGGGGGCAGGCTGCTGTTGGAGTCGTTGCCGGGAGTGCACTGCAACGTCACGGAGCACCTGTCCTAAAGTGTGCGCGTCCCCTCTCATTTGCGTACCTCATGTCTTGCTGGCAATGGGAGGCGTTCCTTGGCAGCGTGCACAACATTGCGTTTCTGCAGACTCATCGCACTTCAATGCAACGGCCGTGCAGAGTGTTCCTTCCATCCGGTGGCATAGCGGCGTCTGTCAATGGTTTAAGAAGCCTGGTCGAGGCGGCGCGCTGCGCTTGGCGGCCGAAAGGTTGTCGACCTGGGCTCGTCATTGGCAATGCAAATTGTCAGCGAGCTTCCTGCCGCCCGGGCCCCGCGTCCAGACGTCCCTGTTGCCGCCAGCTGTAGCAGTGTCAATATGTCGGGGCTAGTGTCTCATGTAGTTATCCCCTCATCCTACCACACACACGAGAAACACTGTACCAGGCGGCTTCTCCATCGCTTCTCCGTCCATTCGGCAGGAGAGGAGCGGAGACGTACATGATCTAACAACCAGTCCATCTGCGTGCCTTTTGACGACTGTTGGACATCACAAAGAGCTGCTGGGCGTCTGTCCCAAAGTGCCAGGACAGGACCTCACTGCTTACAGCTGCACCGTGCACGCAGACTGTCATAATAAACATCAAATATGGCAATGGGAGGACTAAGCCGGCCCATCGTGGCTTTCCTGGCGGTGCTGCAGGCGAGTGTGTGTGCCGGTGTCAGTGGGATCACCCCTCGGCTTTCGGGCCACCAAGCCAACGCGCCGACGGTTTCGAGGCCCGAAGCAATCCCATTTCATCTTTAATCCAGCCCAGTCGGCCTATACGGCCTCGGGAGACGGCAGCGGCCCAAGCATGAAAGCACCGTGGCGCCCTTGCGCGCTGCCATGGTGCTGTGCTGCGTTTTTGCCGCAACCTTGGCACGTCTTGCGGGTGGGTTTCTGCATGCACTGAGTACTTCTCCATTGCTGTCTCCACCAAACCGCAGCTTGCCGCGGCTGGCTCAGTAATTGCCATCACTGGGGTGAGAGCATGGCGAGGGTGGGAGGCACACAGCATGACATGTGGTTGGAGCAGGGCCTGGATGCGCAAACGCCGGTGGCGACTGCGAGCGCGGCACTTGTGAAGTGTGATGCTGAGAAATTGCTTGGCGAGCGCGTGCCTGTCAGAACAAATGTTACGGCATGTGGCACGGCAACATGCGTCGCCCTGATCGCCTCGCTGCGCCCCTCTGCCGCCCTCAGATCCGTTTGGCCAACGTCGACGTGACCAGCATCAAAAGTATCATGAACCAGAAAGTCTGTTTGCTGACAGAGAACGACAACATTTCCATTTGCCTGTACGCCTATGCGCTGGGCGCGGTCAGCATCATCTTCACCTTTGCCATCGGGCTGCTTCAGGTGGGTACTGCAGTGAGATCGAGACACGCTTTGCAGGCTGTATGTGACCCTCCATGGCAGAATAGTTGCTCGCTTGCGATGAAAACCAAGGCCAGGTCCACTAAAAACGTGACACATGCACAGGAAACAACAGCAGCAGCACGGGTGGCACCACTACGAGTAGCACAGCAGAGACTTGCAACCCCTACAGCTCAGCGGTCATCATGTCAGCAACCCTCGTGTGCCTCGTCCCCCACCACAGATCTGTACATGCAACTTGTGCGGATGCGGCGCTGTCATGGACAGTGTTTTTGCAGTGATGGCGGCTGGTTGGTGGGTCGTGGGCGCTTTTGTGATCTCGTCTAACTCCAGCAGCGCCAGCAAGGCCGGTCGCCCAGCCCGTGAGTGGCGCGAGGCGGTCGCTTGGCTGACATGGATCAGCGCAGGGCTGTTTGGCGCGCTGTTTGCGGTGCACATATCCCGCGTCATCTCAAAGTACTGCTGCAAGCGGCGTGGTGCCACAAGTGAGAGCGAGAAGTCGATACTGGGGGCCAACAAGCCGCGCAGCGCAGCGCTGGAGCTTGGCAAGGAGGTGCGCGGCCGTGCCTACCTGGCTGGCAATGGCGGCAAGGCCCCCCTGCAGCAGCAGTTCATGGGCAACGCAGGCAACATTTAGGTCGCTTGTGTTTGGGAGGTGGCGCCAGCTTGCGAGGCATGAGCTGGCGTACATGGTAGTTGCAGGCTGGCTTTGCACCACGGCAACCGTGGCGGCCTAGAAGGGCGTGCACTTGGCTCCCAGGCTTCCACACCCGCTGCACAATCCCGCCTGAAACCATGCCACATGTGTGTGGGTGTCTGGGTGGCACTAAAATGGAGGTTGCCGCCTGCCAGTGGCCTGCGCAACATGAACTTGACACTCGCTGGTTGCAGTAAGCGCTTTGCAGACAGGCTTGGCTTGTGTCCAATTGTGTCATTTTGTGGCCGTGCTCTGAGCCTTGAATGCAAGTGGTGAGATGCACCATCATGTCCTGCCCAACATTTTTTTCGACTTACATCAACTCTTTCCTGGCTCCACAAAATCAAAAAGCACTGTAAGCAATTCCATAATTAACGCACAGGATTAACAGCTGTTGCATGCAAAAAGGATGAGCAAATTGGGGATGATGTGCAGAGGTACTGGGAGGCCGGAAGGGTTGGCGTCAGACCATAAGCTCTTTGCCGTCCAGCCGATCCGGTAGCCAGCGCACCGCAACGTCTCCGGCGCGGAAGTGCCAGCTGCGCGTTCCAAGCGCGATGCCAGCGCCAACCGCAACGCCATCTGCCGCTGCCTTCTTTCCCGCCGCTGATTCGGTCGTCTCCGCGGCGCCCTGTGCAACCCAGGCAATCGGCAGCCGCCGCAGGGTCACGTCCAGCCGCCCGTCCAGCTCAGCCGTGCGGCCCTCCACGGGTGTGAGCGACAGCACAGCACTGGCTGAATGCTGCAACGTAGACAATAGCACCGTATCACCAGGCGCATCGGCGGCTGCCAACACGACAAACCGGTAGCGCGGCTGGCGCAGCGACGTGCCTAGTGCGTGGCAGTAGTGCAGGAATGCCGATGCCTCGTGCTGGCCAGGAAAGAGGCTCTGCAGAGCAGAGAGCGAGTCCAGCACCACTGTGAGGCCGCCAGGCCGCTCCCCATGACCGTACCCTGACCCTGCCATCGACACCGACGCTGCAGTTGTTGATGATGTCAGTGGCTGCTGCTGCTGCTGCTGCTGCTGCTGGCATTGAAGGTCGCTCAGCAGGGCTTCCGCAGCAGCAACCATGCGTTTTAAGAGCCGCTGCAACGCCGGCTGCCCTCCCGCCCGGTTGGCGAGCAGTTCAGGATTCTCCGCCCCTGCAGCCGCATCTGCTACCACGCCTGACGGCTCCTGCCCAGAATGAACTTGGCTCGGCCATTCTCCTGAGCTGGCAGTGTACTCCGCAGCTGTCACAAAGGCGACTTGTGCCTGCTGTTGCAGGATGCCGAGCTTGCGCAGGGCGGCGCTGTGGCGCGCTGCCGAGTGCGCCGCGGATAGAATCAGGACCTGCAGACGGATTCCAGGTTTGCGATGCACAGATGAGGCTCACAGCGGACCCTTGTGCGCGACGGTGCACTGCGGCACGCAGCAAACGCCAGCATGTGCCACCACATATCAACTGTGTCTTGTGAAGATGTATGAGCGCAAATGCTTGAAAGAATTTGAAAGAATCTAGATTCCCACCTTGTGGCTGCTTTGTAGGGCAGCCTGCACCAGCAGCGGCAGCAGAAAGGAGCCGCCGCAGTCGAGGCGGTCGAGCAGCAACAACGTGCCTTGCGGTAGCGCTGCCATCAACGGCCGCAAGGGATCCGCAGCGTACGCTTCGCTCATCATGCTGCAGGGCAACAAGTTACTTCACGGCTGGTGAGTGCTGCTGCTCGTGACGGTGTCTGCCTCTGTTGAAAAGGGCGGTGCGTGCGTGGATGTCACCAGGTGTGTGTGCATTGATCTATGGTTTGATTACATTACTTGAAGGAATCTTTCAAGCGGGTGTATGCCTTGTACCGTATCATAACAGGTCAGGCGTCGCACGAGTCGAGAGCTCTCGACAAGCCCCGCTGCTTTGAAATGCTGCCGCCCTTGCTTCGTTATGCGTGCAAACATGCTGGATCGCCAGCCTTTAGCCTACCACAGCATGTATACTGCGCCGTGGCTGCGACTTGGCGCGCAACGCTGGCCCTGAGCGCTGTGCAGGATGACGCAGCGAGGGCGGGCGCAGGTCTCCAAGGCACCGGCAGCAGTGCATCGCGCACGTACAGCAGCGCCAGGGTAGACGCAGGTGTGACGGAGGCGGCATCTGTGAGCTCGGGGACCAAGCCGCTCAACCTGTGCAACGCGGTAAACGACGCACTCCATGTCGCCATGGAAGCCGACGACACGGCATGCGTGTTTGGTGAGGTGAGCTATTCAAGCTTCACTGATGCTCACAAGCTGCGGCTGCCGCAGAAGCTGGCGGAATTGTGTCCAGGTACGATTCTCAAACGCCCTTTTCAATCTCCATTTGCTGGCGTGCCCGCTAGGACATCGCGTTCGGCGGGGTGTTCAGGGCGACAGTGGGGCTGCAGGAGCGCTTTGGGCAGGCGCGAGTCTTCAACACACCCCTCACGGAGCAGGTACGGAGGACCAGGTGGCAGCTGTGAGCATAATGTGGGGGCAAGTGGCACGCGCAAGGGTTGCAGAGCGGGGGCGCAGCGGCTGTCATTCAGGGGGCAGATTGGACCGATGAAGTCTGCATGAACCAAGCCGCACACACTGCCGGCCCCCTAATCATCGGCCCCACCCTAGGGTATTGTGGGGTTTGGCATTGGCCTGGCAGCGTTGGGCACGACCGCCATCGCAGAAATCCAGGTAAAGTATGCCTTTGCGCACAGCAGGGACTGATGGGCGGCCAGGGGTGCTCGCTGTGCCGCTCCCAGTGCCTTATCAACTGTGCGCACGTGGATGGGGTAACACAGAAATGGGAAGCTACCACCGCACAAAGGAAGTTGCACAACTTGATCATGGGCTTATCGGCTTGTTTACTGTTGCCTGCGTACTTTGGCATGCACCGCCACGCCTGTGCAGTTTGCCGACTACATCTACCCTGCCTTTGACCAGCTGGTCAACGAGGCGGCCAAGATGAGGTGCGCACATGTGTGCGCACAGCCGGGTATACGAATTGGCACGCTTTTGTGTCCACCACGCATTGCTGCCCGCTGCGAAATAGACACACGTATCGCGGGCGGATTCATCCAACTCGACCAGGTACCGAAGTGGCGGGCTGTTTGACTGCGGCGGGCTCACAGTGCGCACGCCCTGTGGCGCGGTCGGACACGGCGGCCACTATCACAGTCAAAGCCCAGAGTCCTACCTAGCAGCCGTGAGCTGTTGCAGGGCACGGGTGGTGCAGCTGCATGCGTACTCGTCACGCTTCTGTTCGTAGGCTCATCCATAGCTTCTGCATTGACTCAACCCGAAGACCCGCCAACCACCCACCCACGTCCATTCTTGACACTCGAACACCTCCTCCCAACCTCCTGCGCCCACTCCCTCCCTCACCCCGCTCCCCAGGTCCCTGGCCTGAAGGTCGTGATGCCCTCCAGCCCCGCTGAGGCCAAGGGCCTCCTACTGGCCTGCATTCGCGAGCCCGACCCATGCGTTTTCTTTGAGCCCAAGATGCTGTGAGTGGCAGGGGTTGTGCCGGACACAGCTGTAGTACTGGGTTGTCTGCCGTGCAAGGTGACAAGTGGTCTGGGTGCCATCCGCAGTCGTGAAAAGTCAGCAACATAGTCGGCCCGCGTGTGCACCCACCGACTTGCCTCCACTTTTCACCCCTCCATCGTTTGTCGTCCACTCGCCCTCACGCCCGGCTGCCCCGCCCTTGTTACTGCTCCTCACTCCCTCTTCTTGTGTTCCCCTGACCCCAGCTACCGCACGATGGTGGAGGAGGTGCCTGCCGGCGATTACGTCCTGCCCCTGGGGGTGGCACGCACCCTGGCGGAGGGCAGTGACGTCACACTGGTGGGGTGGGGCGCGCAGGTGCTGGTGCTGCAGCAGGCGGCCAGGGCAGCCGCGGCGCTGTCCCCCCCCGTGTCGTGTGAGGTGCTGGACCTGCGCACAATCATGCCATGGGACGTCGGCGCTGTCACTCGCAGCGTCAACAAGACAGGTGGGCGCCATCTCCGCGACATTTATTGTGACTCAGCCACCTGCAATCCGCAGGGTGACCTTTGGCACAACCATCGCATGTGCAGCATGTGCGCTCCTCACCCCTGCAGTGACCGCCCTGATTTTGTTGCGTAGGTCGTCTGATTGTGAGCCACGAGGCGCCGCTTACGGGGCACTTTGGGGCCGAGATTGCTGCGCGTGTCGCGGAGCGCTGCTTCCTGCGGCTTGAGGCGCCTCCCATGAGGGTGTGCGGGGCAGACACGCCCTTTCCCCTGGTGCGTGCATCTCAGGAAGCACTAATATCGGATGTGTCCAGTGGCTGGTGCATGCCCCAATCGCAACGCCTATTGGTTCTACCACCATTAGGCCGCTCCCAGCCCTCCATGCTGCATCCGGCCCATGCACGAATTGGCCCACTCCCTTCCCCCTTCTCCCTGCCCCTCCACCCCTCCACCCATCCACCCCCACCACCGCCATGGTCAAGGTTTATGAGCCACTGTACCTGCCGGGTGTGGACCGGGTGCTGGAGGCCATTCGGGCGAGCGTGTCCTATTGAAGCGTTTAGGAGTGAGATTCTATGGCGACAAATCAATTCGTTTGCCCTCCTTGATTGTTTCCTGGCGGGCTGCACAACTCGCCCTGCCATTTTGTGTTAGGTGGTGGCGACCTGCACAGTTTTGATGCAGCTGCAATTGTGCTGGCTGAACGCTGCTACATGCAGGGTGGGGCTCTTCAACTTTTGACCTGGGGCAGTACTGACAATCATGTGATGCGGCTTGAGGGCTCGTCCCGATGTGACTCTTGCACACAATCTGCATGCGATGTTTGTGCTGGTGCGGTTTCTCATGTACATCACACACGGTGCACACACAACATGAAGCTGGCAACTACTGTGCTGCAGATGATGTCTTCACACGGGCAACTGGCGTGTGTGCTTGGCTTGCTTGGAGACCAGCAGCAGGGCGGAACGGTGGACTGGCCGTGACTGGCTATTCTCATATGGTCATCCAAGCACATTGAGAGTGCATCGAATCGCTGTGCGTGTAAATCAAGTTGTATTATCCATTCCCAGCCTGACCGCGCGTTCGCGAGCGCATTTCGTCTGCAAGCTTCGAAAGGCGAATTCAGGCATTCAGGCAATATGCAGGCCTTCACAATGCCTTCTATGGGTTTGCGGAGGGCCGCTTTCAACTGCATGCGGGCGCAGAAGCCGCGGGTGGTTCGAGTGCAGGTGAGGCTGCGTGTGCGCCAGGGCGCTGCATGCCGTCCATGGGCAGCACCGGTTCTGAATCCCTCGATTGCGCCGATGGTGCTGGAATGAGAAGCACGGGCCATGCCGGGTGGCCCCAGCAGCAGGTCGCCGGCGGCCCCGACAACATACCTCTCCACCCTGTGTGCAATCTCCGGCACGAAGGCCGCCCCTGAGACAGGCCACCACACAGTTCCGGATGCGCTGCGGGACGAAGCCCTGGCCCATTTTTTTGAGGGCCCGTGCAAGTGCACACCCACCACTGGGGGTGTGAACAATGTCGTGCAGTATGTTGAGACAGCCAACGGAGAGCGCTACATCTTGCGCGTGTGAGCGGGCTGGTCAAGAAGGGGTGACCTGGCCTATCATTGCATCCCTACTTGGCTTGAGGAACTCCTTATCTATGTACTGGCAGCAGTAAATATTCGAATGGTGCATGCAATAGGATTCAAGCGCATTGGGCTGACCTGTTGCGCTAGGCCAAGAGGGTGTCCGCAGCAGGATGCACCACCACCGCTTGATTCCCGCGCGCTTTGCCTGCACTCCTCATTACAGCTACAACAACGGCGGAAAGAGCGAGAAGGTGGGTTGATGGGGCTTGTGTGAATTGTATCATAGTTGCGTGTTGATAAAAGGGGCTGCGAGCCCCTCGGCTAATGTGTTGTGGTGTGGTCCTCCCCCCACCACCACCCCGTATTCCCCCTCATCTCACCCGACCCCCTCGCGTCCAGCCCGCACACCACCACCCCACACCCCCAACCCTGTCCTTGCGCCCGAACCCCCCTGCATCTTGATGTCAGGTGGCCTTTGAGCACGAGCTGCTGCTGCAGCTGGGGCAGCAGGACCTCAGCTTCCAGGTCCCCAGGGCCCTGCCCACGCTGAGGGACGGCGCCCGCCACGTAAAGCTCAGCAGGTGTGGGTGGCGGGGTGGCGGGGAGGGGCTAGGGCAAGGCTGGCCACTGCGTGTTGATCAATGTGGCGCCAGCGGGTTTTGCAATCGGGTGGCTCTGCAATCAAGATGACCGTAGCAAGGTGCCACCACCTGCACTTGGCCCCTCCCCACAACCCTCATCATCCCGGCCTGGGCGCGCATGTGTGCACGTCCCCCAACCCTGCGCTCAGCGGCGATGACGCGTGTGTGTTTGAGATCATCCCCGGGACCCTGGCCAAGACCACCAGTCCGCGCGAGGTCGGGCGCGCCACTGGGGAGCTCTGCACTGCCATGGGCCGCATCGACCTGGGCGGCCGCGAGGCGGAGGCCCCCGTGCCCCCCTACTACGACGGTGCGCTGCATTGCGGGGGCCTTTGGCGCAGGAGGCACGGTCTTGGGGGTGAGAGCATTGCCACCGCACAGAGAGGAAGATCACGTGGCCCAGGGCGCTGCCTGGAAGGTCCTTGCAGAGTCACTGACGTGCTATTGCACGCGGCCCAGCGAACCCCAACCCCTCCCTGACACCCCTGGCGACAGTGTTCCATGTGCACCACTCCATCAACCGCGAGATATTCTACCAACAGGTGCGGGCCTGTAGAGCAGGGTGGGCAGAGAGACGCTGCAGCAGAGAGGACAGCGAGGTCAAGCACTGCATGTACCACCTGCGGGCCGCGCTGGATCAGCACGAGGGGACGCCGCAACGCTGCCAGCCCTTGACCCTCACTGCTCGCGAGCACGCATGAACGCACGTGCCCATGCCCACACACGCGCTAGCACGCAACCTGGCCCTTGTGCCCCCCACCTTTCCCCAGGTCGCGGAGAACCCTGGCTTCAGCGTGTGCCGCGCCGACATTGACTACCTGACAGCCGAGATCACGGCCATGGAGCCCAAGCTGGAGGCCTACCAGCAGCTGGGCCTGCCCATGCAGCTCATCCACGGAGACCTGCACGTGCGGGGCCTGGGGGTCCAGGGGTGGCTGCTGGGGGGCGGGGCCAAGGGAAGGGCAGTGTAGGGGAG